TAGAAGAGTTTGCAAGATCAGGGCATGTAAAGAATGAACACAGACAGGCCACCTTGATCCTTTACTCAGTTGCAGTAGCTGAAAACTCAAGCCCACAATTTTACCATCACAGCAAATATTTGTGGGAAGACTCGTTCCTCTTGGTTATTGCAATTTTCATGTTCTACTAAATAAGATGTACTTTCTTCTCTGGGAGGTGATTCGGGATCAAATGAAAGATTCCTCCCATCTCATTTTACAAAATTGGAATCAACTGGTTCAAAGGAGACTTTTACCCAGAGCCATGACCATGGCCCAGCCGGGGTCTGAACTTTACTCCAGCTTTGAACAACACCAGCTGTGTATCACTTGAAATACAGAGATCACAGCCCTCCCTTCCCAAGGTTAATCCCCCCCTGTAAATCTCCAGGCTCTGTTTCAGTTGCAGCTCGTGCAGATGTATCAACCACAAAGGATCCAACACCTGCTTCCCTGCAAATCCCACTGGAGTCCTAATAGGTGTGGGATCACAGAAACATAGAATGATTTGGGCTGGAAGGGATCTTAGAGATCATCCAGTTCCAACATGGGCAGGGACACCTTCCACCAGCCCAGGTTGCTCCAAGCCCTGTTCAACCTGGCCTTGGACACTCCCAGGGATGGGGCAGCCACAGCTTCTCTGGGCAACCTGTGCCAGGGCCTCACCAACCTCTGAGTAAAGAACTTCTTCTAATATCCAACCTAAACCTCTCTCTTTTCTGTTTGAAACCATCCTGTCTTGTCCTATCGCTCTCTACCCGTGGAAAAAGTTGCTCTCCCTCTTTTCCATAAGCCCGTTTAGGCACGGGAAGAGGCTCTGAGGTCTCCCTGGAGCCTTCTCTTCTCCGGGCTGGACAATCCCAGCTCTCCCAGCCCATCTCCAAGGCAGAGGTGAATATCCCCATGGCACAGCTCTAACCACCATGGTAAGCAGCATCCATGCACCCAGCACTGATTGGTTCCACGAGCACGGCCTGTAGAACAGACAGTTTTAGAACTGAGCCCAAACACTTGCAATTAGAAGCATAATATTCCCCATCCCACAGGGAACAGAGGGGGCTATAAAAGCAGGTTCTGTGCAGACAACAGATTCTGTGTAGCAGCACTGACCAGACTGAAGCCCTTCCAATGCAGAAACTCTTCATCTTTTAACTCTCCAGTAAGGAAGTCATTACAACCAGATGAATGGCTCGAAACATTTGGTTTCACTCCCTCCTTTTACTGCTACCAGTAGCTTTTCACTGCCAAAAGGCTACCCATAAATCTGGAGGCTGACAGTGCCCCTGGGGGGAAAAAGCTCCCATAACTCTGACACGGCATCAAAATAACGCACAGGGAAATCTAAAATCAGCTTTGAAACACAACAATGTGAGGAATCTACAAGAAGGGGAGCCCAGGCTGGTGCCCCCATCCGTGTGCCCCTCGCTGTGTCACCGCGGGCTGGGAGTGTCACCTGAGGCGAAGGGCCACGCTCTGCCCAGGTCCCTCCAGAAATATGCTCAGATCTGTCACATCTCAGGGGTTGTTCAGGGCACAGTAAGGCCCATAAAGGCTTCACAGCACCGGGCCCTTCATAGCTGGTGTGAGTCAGGGCCGTGATTTACTGTGGGATTAGCGCAGCCGCTTTCGAGGTTATTCTCGAGAGGAGGGAACTTTTGGGAAACACAGTTTGTGTTTTCGGGGGAAGGGGTGGGGTTTTTTTAAATTTTTGTTATTTTTCTATGTTTTCTAGGACAAATTTGTAAATGAGATTTTCTGGGGGGGAAAAAAAAAAGTGACTGAGCTTCTGCCCTCGGTCATACATTATTGTAAAACTCTCCTGGGAGATCTCCAACATCTTCTGGGAAAACAAACCTTCTGAGAATAGAATCGGGAAAAAGAGGCTGTCTGAGAGAGTCCTGCTTGATACAGCGTTTTTCTACTCTGATGACTTCAAAACTTGGGTATTCTGGTATCAAAGTAGAAGAACTGTCCAAGTTTTGTTGCTAAAGCTGCACAAGGTGACAGAAAACCTTTCCTGAGATCCATATCCTTGCACCCCTTCCACGTGCAGGTTTGGACCGGCTTCGGCTTTCGTGACGATGGAATTTTTCCTGCCCACGATGGAAAGGAAGAACCTCTTCCTCAGCCTCCTGCTCTGCTCCAGCCTGCTCAGAGCTGCTGATTCCCACATGGTCACCGAGGAGAAGACAGACTGCAACCTGTCCAGGAGCAGCAGAATGGATCTCTCAGATCTCCCCCCCATCTCCATAGTAGGTGAGTAAAATCTGCCATTCGGTGCCAGATTACCAAGATCTGCAGAAAATGCAGCTGTTGATCCCTGTGGACTATTTGGATAACACTGCACCCAAGGATGGCAATGTGACAACCCTCAGTTTAGAGGAAAAAAAAAAGAATAATCACCAGATAACTAATTTTAGTTTTGACAGATTTTACTTCAGGTCCTATAATGCTGCAGGTCTTTTTATATTGAAGTGTTTGTCTGCTAATATGGGCAATAATCTTCCTTTGAAAATCTCATGCATTTAAAAAATATGAACAGAATGTGGCGTCTTTTTAAGTATCTGCTCTTGTGGTAGAGAAATCAGCAGTATTAACAGGTATCAATATCAGTCTATCTGGTTTATCTGGTCTTTAACCAGAGAAAGGAAAGAGCACTGCAAGGGAGAGCCAGGGGTTATCTATTTATCCAAGACAAGACCAGCTCTATCCCTACTCCTACTCTGTCCTGTTAGGGAAGAACCTTGTTAAGGCAAAGCTTATCTCTTTTCTTCACAAAATATTTTCCTTTCCAAAGAACATTCAATATTCCAGCTGGAACTGGATCCAAATCACTTTTCTAGTTAGTGCAATACCATTATTAAGGCTTGCCCTTATTAAGCAACAATAACTTTATATGCTTGAAGGACAGGTTTCCCCCCCACACTGGTTCTTAGAGATACATAACCCCAACTAGAAAAATTAATGATTAATAAATGAAACCCCTCAAGCCAGCCCAAACTGTTTATTCTTCACTCTGTGACCCTGTAAACCCTAGCAATTAGTAAATATTCAAAAATATATTGGTAGAGAACACAGGACTAGATGAGGAGCCACCATTTATCAGTGGGGATATGGAGGCTTTTTATCCCAATCATTAATTACATACATGTAGCACTTTTACACAGACACCTTGAATTTTATTTCTCTGAAATTGTCCCTTGTTTGCATCTACCAAACAAAGTGTAAAATTTCTCTCCTAAAATACAAACATCAGTGTTCTTCTGCTTTGCACCAGCACCAGGAGTTCAGCCTCTCTGTGCACGAGCTGAACACCTTCCCGGGAAAACACGCAGGGATGAGGTGGCACTGCAGGTTATCTGCCTTCTCTCACCCAAAAATAGGATTGTCTCGATATTTCATATTATGTTGTGCTGTTCTCATTGAAGATTTAACCAGAAGATCCCAGAAAGTCAGCAGGAAAGAGGCAGAGACCAAGAAATCTTCCAAGGTAGGTGGTTGTTCAGAAAACTTTGTTGAATTGGAACGGTTTGTTACACGTAGAGTTTCCCTCTGTGCATTCATTTCCAAGGCTTTTACTGCCATTCCCTGAGTTAAGTAATTGACATAGAGCTGGAAGCTCTAAATACTATAAAACCCCACGAAAAATAATAAAGGTGGAAAGAAAACAAGAAGCTGTGGCTGCCCCATCCCTGGGAGGTGTCCAAGGCCAGCTTGGACGGGGCTTGGAGCAACCTGGGCTAGTGGAAGGTGTCCATGGCAGGGGGTGGAACAAGAAGGGCTTTAAAGATCCCATCCAAACTATCCCATAACTCTAAGTCCCAGAGGTGCACAGGGTGCCTTTAGCCAGCAGATCCCTCCCAGGTCCCAGGCACGTGCTGAGCCACCCAAAGTTTCCCACCTTTCCTGAGAGGAGCAGCTCCCCTTGGGCAGGCTGGGGGAATCTTTCATTTGAAAAGTTTGGGGATCCAGGCACAACACCCTAATTAGTTTTGCTGATAACTTCATCATCTTTGGATGTTTTTCTATCCCTTCCTTCACTGCTGCCACAATCTTCCCCTACAGACCATTTTCCAGCACCCTGCCCAGTCCTGGTCAGAATCCAGGGCTCACAAGGTTGATCACGTTGCTCAGAAGGTCGTTCTCAAGCCCTCATTTCCCGTGATCCAGTCCCACCACACCTCTGTGTTGCTACTCCAGGTCTCTCTCCCAGCAACCGCCTCCTCACCTCAAGCCAGACCCTCCCTCTGTTCCCTCTCTCGACCCCTGGGACCCGAACTCCCTTCACTTTCCTAGGAATTCTCACGGTTTTGTCTTCTAGAAAAACGCTGAACGCAAGACACCTCCGAAGCCGAGGCCCCCACCAGCTGCCAACTGTGTGCCAACCTTCAAAACCTGCAAGCCACACCTGAATTCCTGCTGTAACTACTGTGCCCTGTGCAAATGCCGAATTTTCCAGACCATCTGCCAGTGCCTGATGTTAAACCCCAAGTGCTAAACCGAGCTGGGAACACAATAAGGCTCCTGTCTTTCGTTAGTTTCTCGAGTGGGTGTTTCAGATTTGCCCTGTGTGTGTGGCAAAGGAGAGAGCTCTGAAGCTTGGATTTGCCCCTCTTAAAAATTAATGGACTGGGGGTTTTTATGGGGTTAATGGTATCACAACAGGGATGTTATTTCAGGAGATTGGGTGTTTTTAGCAAAAGAGCTTGTTTTAGGATGAATTCTGGACTCTTTGGTGCTTTGGGATTGTTTGGGGGGTTGTTTTTTTTTTTTGAAAAGGGTCATAACCCTCTTCATATAGTCAACAAAAATCAGGACAAGAATTTATGTAGGTTATTCTACCTGAAAATAAGGCAATTTTTCAATCATCCTCAGCTGAGCATCAATCCATCCACCTTCAGGGTTTGTAGTCATTGAAGCAACCAGCACCTCCCAGCTGTATAAAAGACATGTATACTTGAACCCTAAATGTATCTGTGCCTCAAAACATAACAATCAGGTGGTTTTTCTTTCCCCAACCATATCCACAGCAATCAATTCCTCAGCCCTTCTTCTCCTGCTGCCAAGGACATTGTGCATTTAAAACCCAAAAGCAGGAAGATATATTGGAGGAAGAAAGGAAAGATCAGCCCAAAAATGAATGGATATCCCATATGTACATCTTGAAGTAAAGCACAATAAGCAATCAATCCCTTTCTCTGCCCTTTCCTACTATGGGCAGCTCCCAGAACCCACCCCAAGGGTGAATTCAGGCATCAGTCAACCAGTGACCAAAGGGTGACCCATATTAAAGGGTGTAAAGGCTCAGCAACAGCTCTGAAGGCATGGGTGAAGCTCAAGGCAGCAGCAAACAGGTGTCTACAAGGCTTCTTTCCCTTGTTCTTGAAGCTCTTTGCCTCAATCTCAAGGATCCAAGTGGGCACAGAAGGAAACCCTTTCTTGGTTAAACCACCGGGAGAACAAGGAGGGAGCAGACCCAGAAAATGTCCCCAGCATTAGAGACTCATTTTGCTCTTGCTTTTCACCTCCTCTGTTCTGTATCTACAGTGTTTATCTCCCCTGCTCCCCTACACTCTTTTTTCTTCTGTGGTACATCCTTGATTTCAGCATTTTCCCTTCATCCCACTGCTATTCCCAGTCAGCACAGGAGCTACGTTCACTCCAGGTTAAACCCCCCCTCTCCCACGTTCTCTCCACCTGCTTCCACAGGGTCCCTACCAATGCTCTTTGGATTTCATAATCATGTATTTTCTAACCACAAATTTTGAATCCAAACCCACAAATTTTCTAATCCTCTCTGCGGGTCTACTTGAGAGGGAATTACTGATTTATTTCTAAACACAGCTGGAAGGCCACAAAAGTCTTCCAGGAAGGCCAAGATGATAGAGATGACACTCCAAAGGCACTCAAGCCTCATGAACTCTTTTTTTTCTTGTAATAATCAGTCCAAAGCCCAGAACTTGAAACACTGGTCAAGTGTTGACAGAAATTTTTGTTCAGCCTAAAGATGTGTAGATGACAGATTAATCAAAGAGAGAGCCCCAATGATGACAGGGTGCCGTTGTGTTCCTTATCTCTGACAAAATACATCAGCTGACACATATGATGCAAGCTTGAATTCTTGTACATTCACATAGGTATGTTTTTTTATCATATATCTTGGCTCAGGAATCTCTAAGCCACTCAGATAAGATTAAAAAGGGCTTGAGAAGGAAGAATGACACATTACAGTGGACATGGGAATTCGGACCCTTCCTTTACCAGATAAAGATTTAGGTTCCCATCAAGTTGTTGACAGTATTGTTTTCATACCAGAAAGTCCAGCTGGTCAGAAAAATTATATTTTACTTGGGTCTAGAGGAGCAGGAGGAGAGGGAAGGAAAGGAGGGAGAGCCAGAAATCAAACAAACAGCTGCTCTCAAGACAGCAGCTCCCACTCCAGCTTTGCGGAATCACAGAATGCCCGAGGTCAGCAGCAACCTCTGGAAGTCATCTGGTCCAAGCAGGGCCTCCTGGACCTGTTTGCCCAGGACTGTGTCCAGGCAGCTCTTGAAGACTCCACCACCTCCCTGGGCAACCTGTCCTGGTGCTGGGTCACCCTCAGCACTAAAAGCAGAAAACGAAGGTTTCTGATGTTTGACTCTCTCCAGTGTGTCCACATCTCCCTGGTACGGGGGAGACCCAACCTGGACACAGCACTCCAGGGATAACCTGCCCAGTCCTTGACCTGCTGGTGCCAGTCCTTCCAGCACAGCCCAGGACACAATTTACCTTCTGTCCTGCAGGGCACACAGACTCATGTCCAGCTTGGTGCTCTCCAGACCCCCCCAGGGCCTTTCCTGCTGAACATCCTGGTGCCTGGGGCTCTTCCTTCCCAGGGACAGGACTTTGTGCCTCTCCTCGTTGACCATCAGGAGGTTCAGACTGTTTCTCCAGCCTGGCTCAGTCCCCCTGGACACACCAGCCCCTGCTCCCAGGCTGGTGTCACCAAGGGGTGTGGGAAGTGCCCACGGACACGGCAGCAGACCCAGCCAAGGACAGGATGTGCAGTGAAGGCAAAGGAAAGGCCCAGCCAGGCCACTGAGGGGATTTGCTTTCCAACACATATTGCATATGCTTTTTAATACAGCATTTACCTGTAGTGCATTTTTGAATTTGAGTTTTATTAACAAGCCTTCTCTGCGACTGGAATTTATTAGAAAGAGGTTCTGCTTTCTTTGCTGTTCATCTATCACACCAAAGAATATATATGAGACGTTATATATAATATATATATATAACCAAGTACTCTGAAATTACTAGCCTTAGTGACTTGAGCTTTCTGGGTAAAGATCACGTTGCACGAGGTGTTGAGAGGACACAGAAATCAATAAAATGTGTGCACCAAACATTTGCTTCAACGTTTTTAGTTTGCACAGCTATTCCTACAGAGTCAGAGTTCCCCCAGGGACCCACCTGGAATGTCAGCAGCACAGAGATGATAAAACGTGCACATGACAAAGACGGAGTGTTTAATTTTTAGCTGTCAGATACCAAAATACCTCCACTGAAAACTCACTGGAATTCAAGTGCAGAGACAGGCCCAGTAATGCTCCATGGCAGAGCCATTGTGCTCATAAAGATTAATGGGAATTTTACCCTAATTAGAGGTTAGGAGGATTAAGCACAAATAAATCACTGTTAGCTTTTCCGAATATTGCCTGTCTTGTGCGAATTTAAAACAGATACTGTATTTTTCCCATCCAAAGGCCTGGCTTCATTGCTTATTATCACACTCAAAGCCCATAAAACTCAAGTTTATCCTGGTGGACAAAACAAATGGAAGAATTAACACCTTAATGACGATACCAAACTAATTTTAAACATGGCATAGTTTTCCAAGCTAATTATTGAAACTGTCTGGGAGGCCTCAAAAGGAAACCAAACAACTCCCCACATCAGCCTTGTGGAACTTTTCACAGAAGGAAAGATTTGATGGAAGGTGAAGTGACTTTTTCCGAATTCCCCAGATGAGTCAGCAGTATCTGTGATGTTGCTTTAGCTGAGGGTGATGAAAGACTGGATGAGGACAGTGAGATGAGGACAGTGCTCACCTCAGGATGAACTGAATTATAGGAAAACCAGAGGGACATTTGTGTATCCAAACTGAGGAGCTGGTGAAGAAGTTGTAAGGGCCGTGCCCAAAGCTGGCTCTGGGGGAGCTCCATTTTACACAGCAAAAATTCCATCTTCCAGCAGCCCTCTCAGAGGACTCGCTCCTCAGGAGGCACTGCAGCCTCGAGGTCACTCCCTGAGTGGGTGTAGACGTTAAATGGCACTCAAGGACAAAGCAAAAAAAGAATTCAATCATAACATTTTTCAACAGAGGACTTCAAGATTAATTAGACCATTTTATGGCCAGAAGTGACTCTCTAAACACACTGAATGGGCCAATTCAGCACTTGTCCACATCCAGTGTCCTAGTTAACACATGTATGAGTACAATTTTTGTAGTACATTCGATAGTTGAAAAGAAATAACTGCTTCCTGTGCCAGCTGCAAACCACCTGAAGCACCACATGCTTTTCTGACTTTGGGGGCGAGAAATTCCCGAGTCACTTTTGACAAGCACCCAGCCAAAGGCAGAGACTGAAGTCCCCCCACTCTGCTAAAGACTGCTCTTTCGTGCATGTTCATACAGCTTGGGGCTAAGTGGTATAAAAATACAACCGAGGGCACCACAGGTGGGCACACACACAGGCAGTGCTGAATCCTGGCGCTCCATGAACAATTCTTTCCCTTTTTTGTACAACCCCCACCGTTTCAGCTTTCCTTTTGGCAGTGTCCAGGCTCCAACAGGCGATTGATTTCCCAACGGCATCAGCAGCTCCTGGCACAGCACAAAGCACAGGAAAACACACACACACACAGAACACTCCTGCAACAAATCCCCTCGCTCTCAGAATCCCAGAGTGGTTTGGGTGGGAAGGGACTTTAAAGATCACCTGATCACTCTGATTTTGGGGAGCACAGCCACTGGCTCCCGAGGTGCCCCTCAGAAATCTGTGCTGCCTGCAGATTACTATGTGGGGTGATGCAAAGATTTTATTGGCAGCCCTCTCAGATGATATGCAGGTGGCCAACACATGGCTAAGGCCCTCTCCCAGAAGGATAAGAAGGTTTTAGTTAATTCTGCAAGATTTTTTTTCAGTGAAACGAGAAACTATTGCAATTGCTGCATGGCATGTGCACACATCTCTCTGTCCAGGAAATCCTTTGAGATGAAATCCTGCCTGAAATATGGGAGCCCCAAAGTGGCTCTATTAGTGTCACAGCCCAATTCACATGTGGCTTTCATTCAACACAGATAAAGGCAGGAAAAGACTGAAGTACATCCCTCCCTAGTGATCAGGTCCTTCTGAATCAGTGGAAATCATCTATTGACTTTAATAGACTTTAACAACACCCTCGTCACTCCCTCTCCACATTTTAGCAGTAGATTTCCCTAATAACAGTGTTCCTGTGGTACCCTGGCTATTTTGGGCAGTTTCCTCACGTAAAATGTCATTTGTGACCTCATGTGGGCATATGAGCAGCTCCCTCAAGTAGATGAACATGACTTATA